AAATTTATAGGGATGAAGGGCAAACTCTGGGACTGTTTAGAGCTTTGTTTTCATTACCATAATACCTGTGTAGTTCAGCGTGTTGGAGAGAAAAGCCCTTTCTGTGAAAGATTGTACAGAAACCCTGTTTCAACTGACAGAGCTCTCTAGCAAAAACATGGGCAATAAAGAATAGGTCTTCCTGCTTTTTCTAAAATGGAGGGAAAAATAGGTGGGGGGGGCGGGGGCAGGAACCTCCCCATGAGTCTTATGAGGATTATTTAGTTACTACCTGTGTCTTGAAGTATTCTGTCACTTTAAAGCAGTGATTTTCAACCAGGGTGCTGGTGAGACTCTTTTGAGGTTAGATGTGCAAACACCTACACATGATTTACAAGATAAACCCATAAATCCCAATCAGGAATCTGTAGTGTCAAGAGGTTTTCAGCTGGGTGTGTTCTGAGGTCTGTACAACAGAAGAATTGCTCTATTATTTTCCCGTAGTCGAAAAACAGTGAATCTGAGAGCTAGCATTTTCCAAGGCCTTGAGTCTAAAAAGGCTGAGAATCACTATTTTAATATCTTGATCATGCAGCTCCCATTGCAAAGCATCCGTTTTTCTAAATGTAGTTGTAGTTACCCAGGGCTGATGGCCCTGCAGGCACTTTGCTTTAGTTTCTGTTTTAGCTCTAGAAAGAATACACTTGCACACAGAGTTTTTAAAAACAACATTCCCAGCTCTTGAATATTTTCATTTGTGACCTCCGGGGCTTGTAAACTTTCCATTCGCTTTCAGGATCATCACAGCCTTTCTTTTGGTGCCTCTTCCTGGGATGACTCCAAGACTGGGCTTGAATCAGCAGCCCAGTCATCTAATCATGCCTTTAATTCTCTCCAGTTGAGTCTAATAACCCCAAATATGTGTACAGATAGGTTTGCAGAGTGGAGCATTGCCCCACCCATTCTACAAGGCTTCTGATCGTAGGCCTCAAAGGACCAATGGCTTGGGATTCAGCTATCCTCCGCATTCCAAACATCACTTGTTGCCCAGCACCATCTTCCTCTCCCCTAGTGACTGTGTCAAGTACTGCCTTGGCCTTAATCAGCCTTCCTTGCACACAGGGGATGGTTTTGCAAGGTATCCCTCCTGGTCATAAAGGCTCAGTATCCATTACAGGGGTGTAGGCCAATCCTTCTGTTCCACTTTTTCTATCTTGCTGTCTAAGCCTTTATCATGGATTTTGTTTTCCATTTCTTTTGTTGTTGGTTTGGTCTGAAAAGATAAGTGAGTGCAAATTCTTTGAGCAGCCTTGGGGATGGGATGGGATGGGAGAACTTGGCCTGATTACCAACAGCAATGCCATTCTCCCTGAGTAGAAATGTATGCCCCAGATACCTTCCTGCTGCACAGACTGCCAGTGAGTTCACCCACAGGAGACTGGGGCTAGATTTATCTAAAGTAGAGGTGGGCAAAATATGGCCCACAAGCCAGCCCACCAATTGATTGTATCTGGCTCATGGCTGCCCCCATGGCACTATACATGTGGTTAAGCCCCACCCGCTCCTGCCTGGGCAGCATACGCCACACTCCCACCCATACCTGCTTCATGTCTAGTGGCGACGTGAAGGGGGTGCACGGGGGTGCACGTGCACCCCCTGAGAGCACTGGTGCATCCCCTCACAGCCAGCATTCCCCACTTAGGCAACAGGCGGGGGGGCAGGCGGGAATGCTGGTGCCCCCCCCGAAAGCACTGGCCAGAGTGGGGGTGCCAGGAGAAGTGCTGCTGGCACTTCTGGGTCGGTGCGATCAGCTGCAGGGGACCCTGCCCCCTAGTCACTGACTGGCCTCTGGGGCGGCAAGTGACTCAGGACGCACTAGTCACCCATGCTCACGTCCACTGACGACACTCCCCCAGCCTGGAATGATGAGCAGCCACCTGTGGGCAGCTGAGTGGGTGGAAGGCAGCTGGGAGCCGGAGCTGGAGCCCTGCAAGCTGGGACAGGAACTGCCCAGCTGCAGCTTCCCCCCTGCTTGGCTGGGTGTGTGGTGCCCGGCCTGCGTTCCCATAGTCACTGCCGCTTGCCAGCACTACCTGCTCCCCCCGCCCCCAGCCAGCTCCCAGGACCTAATGTGCTGGCAATCCTAAATACACCCACCCCCCTCACACACACAACCTGCCACACCCACCCACAGGAGCAGCTCTGGGTCAGGAGTGGGGAGGTGCAGACCACACCAGCACCTGCACCACCTAGGCAAGCTTTGCTGCATGCACCCCCTGCCCTCTTCCCCCTCCCCCACTCTGGCTGGTTCCCCCCCCATGCACACACCCATCCCCACCTCCCACAATATACAAGAGTAAGACTATTTTGAGTTATTATGCAATCGTCTCTATATACACTACTCAAAAACCATAAATCAGGACAAAAATATTTCTTTAAATAAAATTAAAATATGTTATAGCAGGTGTTTGATTTTTAGTATACAATTTGGGTTTTTTTAATGTGTAATTTGTTAAAATGATATCTTCTGAAAGATTTTGCGTGTGTGGCATTCAACAGTTCACCAAAACTCATTAAGTGGTCCACCAGTTGAAAGAATTGCCCACCCTGATCTAAAGTGACTCTCAGCCAGCAGTGGCTGCAGCAGGAGTAGTGTGCTTCTAATACCCTAGTTTTAGTGACAACTGTGCCACAGGTTTAGCCTGGCTGTGAGAAGCCTTTCTACCTTTAGATTAGCTCTCTGAACAGCAAACTGTGGGCTCTGGCCTGACCTGTCACAGGCCTCCAGTACATTTTCTGGTATGTAGGTATGGACAGTAGATCTTAAGCTCTAGTAAAAGCCAAATAATATAGCACACATAGCATCTGCTCTGAGCAAGAGATTCATGGGAATAGAAGCAAGTCTGACTGTGGCTGTGCCAAACTCAAATATTATAATATTTAGTGCCTGTGGAATGCTTTCCAAACCTGATCTGAGGACTAATTGCTTTACCAGCAGTAATGGATTTAACCTGTAAGATGTCCTTATGAGGAACATATTGCCCCCAGTTTACAGATAGGAAAGCTGAGGCACAGAGCAGCAAAGTGACTTGCTCAAGTTCTAAGAGCCAGGAAGAGCATTTGGGCCTCCCATCTCTTCAGCCTTCTGATTTAGCCTCAAGGCTACTCCTCCTGTAGCTCCTCCCTGTCTGTTTGGTGATGCAGCTTTTGTCTTGCTCTTCAGAGTTCACCTCAGGGCTGGTCAGTAGCAGAGGATGGGATGCAGTGCAGTATGAGTCTGTGGGCAATAAGTACTGTAGCTCTGGCTGCTACTGTTCTCTCTGTGGTGAGTTGTGCTGGTCTTTCTCATCTGTTCCAGGGAAGTCCTACTCCAGAACATTACTGCAGGGTGTGGTACCCCTTCTCCCAAGAGAAGATTGCGAGACCCGCTATGGAAGCAAATTCACTAACCGCATGATATGTGCTGGAAACCTCTCTGAAGATAAGCGTGTGGACAGCTGCCAGGGTGACAGTGGTGGACCACTCATGTGTCAAAGGTCAAATGGACGGTGGGTCATTCTGGGGATCACGTCCTGGGGTTACGGGTGTGGCCGAAAGGACTCTCCCGGCGTTTACACAAAAGTTAGCAAATTTGGACCCTGGATCAAGAAAGTGACCAAGTTGAAATGAACACCTGTGAGCCTTGTGACCTTCAGTGCTGGCTTCTTTTTGCCACTGCAGAATTAAAATGTTGGCCAGTACCCAAGAAAGCTGCCTTCTACCTCCAGAGGGGGCTGCTGCTTCTCTGTATCTGACAGGGATTTGTTTTGTCTTAGTGGTTTCATTTTTGTCTCAGTGTTCAGAGGAAGCAATTATGTTTGACTCCTGAAAGACCTTGTTTTACCTTCAGTCCCAAATCTCTGAACCAGGAAAGCAGATATGAATGGCAAGATGGACGCTTCTGTTCCTCCCCCTACCTGAATCCTGTTGAATAGTATTGCTTAGTTCCTCTACTCCTGAACACAGAGGTGATGGGAGTGGGGAACAGGCTTCTGTCAGGAAATGTCTGTCTCACTTCTTGGATGTTCATCCACTTGGCCAACACTGCCAAAAGAGGTGGAACGCCTGGCAAGTGGGTACGGCAAGGTGCTGCTTTGAAGGAGAACTTCAGAGGAAGCTGCTCAGCCACTTCTCTGCATCACCCCTCAGACAGCAGGACTGTGGAGGGGAACAGGGAGGGGAGGCTGTGATTGTTTTGCTTCTGCTCTCCCCAAGTCAACAGGGTGTAGTTTCTCCTTTTCCATGGCTGAAAGAGGCATTTGCTCTCTCCTGAGTCTTAATTTCACTCTCCTGCAGTCCCTGTGAACATCTTTATCCTTCCTAGATGTTCACCCTTCCACAATCACCCCAATCACTCCCCATTCTCAGTGCTGGAACTCCTCTGGTTTTATCGCTAGGCTTGTGCTACTCAGTGTTTTTCCTTAAAGCCCCAGGTGTTGGAGTCAATCTTCATTGTAAAGAGAGAGGATATATCTAGCCCTCATGGTTGTCAACAAAAGCTTGAAGATGTGACCCCTAACAGGCCCAAACCAAAAAGATTAATAATAAAAACAGAGAAAAAACCCCTCCAAATGTACTGGCAAAGCTAAATGTCAAATGTTTGCATGACTGGGTCAAGATGGCAGCAGTGTAGAGAATTCCTCTTAGTACTTGATCTGTATTAGGTACTTATCTGGGCCCCCATCCCCATAGCAAATGAATGCCAAACAATATTTAATGATTTTAACCTCACAACACTTGCTGGCTGCTCAAGTTGGGGAAATGCTATAGTTCCTGTCACAAGTGGGGAACCAAGACAGAGAAACTGAGTGACTTGCTCACAGTTGCACAGGAAGTTTGTGGTAAAGTGGGGTATTTGGCTTGTTGAAGCCCAGGGTCACATCCAAACTGCTGAGCAACCTTCCTGTCTGTGTTTCTCTGCTGTCTGACTTTTTTCATGCCTCTCAGAAGACACAGGGTTGGATCCTCAGCTGATGTGGACTCTGACTGATATAGCTGCTTACACCAGCTGTGGATCTGGCTTGTAATCTCAGCATGAATGGAACTGATGTAAGGTTAAATGAAAACAAAGTTGTTGGATACTTGTCAAGACTTTCCCAAGCTTGTTTGTTATCTTCAGTGAGAAGAACAGCAATGTGAGAAACACCTAAGTATTTGAGTTAACTTACTTAACTGTCTGCCTGTTTCTAAACAGAATGCAGGCAAGCCAGTTCAGAATATCAGGAGTGTTCCCTGTACACAGAAGAGCTGGGGAGCAAAGGAGCCCTATCTGAGCTGAAGACATTATTATTTTATGATGCCTTGGCTGTGCTGAGACACCTACATTTGAAGAGACACAAGCAGGTTAAAAATTAGATTTTTTTTATTAGCAGATGTCTGAGCCCATGCTAAATTGCTTAGTTCATTTTCCTTTCTCTGCACAAAATACAGGATGGCTGGGTTACAACAGAATGTGTGTTGAAAAATCCTCCAGGAAATTTTCTTTTAAGCAGAATTCCTTGAGCTGTGTCTTTCGCTCTTAATAATGGTAAAAGCTTTCTCCCAGCACATGCAGCAGCTGGCTTCATTCCCCCAGGAATTTGAATGACAGGAAAATGAGAAAGTGGATATTTTCTAGGATCCTGGTCTTTGCAGTAGAGTGAATTGTCCACCTTCTGCAAAAATAGTGCCAGTAGCTGATTGGAGAACACACTGAGGATTTGGCTTTTGCATAAGTCTGACCCAAGACAAGAGACTTCTCAGCTCAAGTGAGAATGTTGCTTCTCTGGCTGCTGCCACCTGTCCATTATAACCTTGCTGAGTTGATCCTCCATGCCTATACTCCCTTTGAGCACAGTGGTTTCCTTACTATGGGAACAAGGCTTTGAACTAGTTGTAGAGAATGGCCCAGCTGTTGCAAGGTGTGGTTGATGATAGTGACAATTAACAAGTTACTTTTTGCTGGATGAAGTCCAGCATCACCTCTTTGAATCTCACCATTTTCTGTCCTCCTCTTTATCACCCACTGGACTTGTAAGAATTCCTCCAATAAGAAAGAGCGAGGGAGGAAGTAATGCTTCTACTTCACCTCATTCATTTTTCATACTCTTTAGCAGTCCCTATGCACAAGTCTATAGATGTTGGTCTTAATTCTTCTGAGTTACCTCTTCAGAACAGTACCACTTTCCTTTCCTACTAAAAATGGAATTGCAGGCCAAAATGACCCTTACTGCCTGTTACAGGGACATGTTGGAATTGGCAGACTTGATCAGGTCAGTGTTAGATGGAAAAAGGAAGATGCAAGAAACTGGACAATTATTTTCTAACCTCTCTTTGGGGGAAGTTTGCTCATGTGATTTATTTGTATTATCGTAGCGCTACAACCCCTGTGATGCTAAGGACTGTACAAACAGAGAAGAAAAAGATTGTCCTCTTGTGCCTATCTTATGCCCTGAAGTATGGGGGTATATCGAATCCTATCTAAAGTAATGAGCCTGTACCCTCTATATAAATGTTTGATCCTTTATTTAACCCAAATAAGCTCTTTGACCTCAGTGATACATTCTGACAGTGGCAGTGTTTTATGCCCCTGCACAGCATATTATTCCTTTTTATTGCTTTTAAACATGCTGCTTTAAATTTTCACTGAATGATGTCTGCTCTTGTGGTCTCTGCTCTAAGTTTAGGTATGAGTGCTCATTTTATGCTCTGTCAACCATCCATTCTTTTATGGATGGTCTCATCTCTAAACAGTCCCAATCTCTTCAGACAGACTGATCCAGCCCTCTAATAATTTGTTACCACTCTTTGCTAGATCTTCAAAGTTTAGTAACAAGAACTGAACCCAGTCTGCATCATCTCATGATTATTTTCAGCATTATTTTCTGTCTGATCAGTCATAGCAGCTACTGCAATATAGAGTAGACATACCCAAGCTAGTGAGTTTAAAAGTTGTTTGCATACCAATAGCAGTCCAGTCACAGTAACGCATAGCTCAGCACAGATTAGCTTAGCCTGCACTACAGGTAGATCATGTAGTTTACATAGACAATTCTGTGATTGGAGTAGCCATTGTGGCTAGGGACAGACATTACACATAAACCAGTTTAAGTGATTAGAAACCGGTTTAAACCTGTAACAGAATGGATGTTCAATGTACATAAACCAGTTTGAAAATGGCTGAAACCGGTTTGAGATAAACCTGGTTGAATGTAGTGTCAGACTTAACTGTCCCAGACCCCTTCCTGGTTTAAGTTAAACCAGAGTCCCCCAGCATCCCAGCTGCTTTGCAGGGCTGTCTGCTGGAGCAGGGCATGGGTAGCCCTGTCCCCTCCTTCCTAGCCAGAGCACTGTCACTGTTCTGGTTGGCTGAGGGGCTGCAGTAGCTGCCAGGCTTCCCCCTCCTCCGCACCCCAGTCCTTGCTGGCTCCTCAAGCAGGGATTCCCCACTCCCGCCCCTCTCCCACTGCAGGTATTCCAGCACAGGGACCTGGCATCTGGCCATGCCCCTCCCCATGCTGCCTAATCCTGAGGGGTGTCTGTGTGGGTCTCTAATTTCACTGGAATAAAGGCAGACAGCTAGTGGCTTGCAAATGCAACTGCATCCTGTGGATAAGAACTTGAAACTAATGAGAGAGATGTTTTCTTTTGTAGGGATTCTTTTTGTAGGGCAATCTGCCAGTCTTCAAGAGGGTACAGAGAAAGGTGTTAGAAATGACCTGGTTTGCAGACAGTGTGAAGAAGCAGGGAGACAGATTGAAAAGCTCAGTATCAACAGATGTGCTCCCACCCTTTGAGCAGTCAGCAGGGAAAAGCTTCGGATGGTGCAGGCAGGGTGAGAGGTTTACACTCCTCCCTAATAATCAGAGCATCTTGCTAGGGCCTGGCCATGCCCTCCCCCTCAGCTCAGCACTATAGAAAGGAAGGGAGGGCTGCTGT